CTGCAGCCATGCCGGTTGGGCGCTCGCCGTGGTCCCTGGAGAATGCCAGCCCGTATTGCTTATACTGTGGGTGTCTCTGCGGTGCTGGGAGGGTGGGAAGCAGGTCCCCACAGCTTGCTGGGGTTGTCCATTGAGGCACCTTGACGTGAGGTTCATAAATGTTGATGGGGAGAAGGGAGCGGATCAGTGCAATGGTCCATGAGGACGGGATCGCTGTGACAACTCTGCCTGCCCTGGACCATTGCTGTCACAGTCCAGAACCGTGCACGTTACTCCCTGGCTATCTGCGATGGCTCAAACCTGCCTTGCAGTGACAGAGCGCATAAAGTTGCACTTGGCAGCGCCGTGGTGGTAGACGAAAGTAGCCACGGGCTTTGTGCCTGGCAGAAACACACAAGCAGGAGAGGCTGTACTGTGTACTCTGCTCCAGCACTCACCAAATAAGACAGGGAATTTACTCTCCATTTGCAAACTCTGCAGGTGATGCTTTTGGGCCACGGAAGCAATTCTGTGTAGTTTTTTGCATGCTTTTCACTAAAAATGTTTTTTTACTATTGGGTAAAAAAACAAATGGGTTTTTCCCTCCCCATTTGGGCTCGGTTCCTATCCCTGCTGGTGGAAATGTTCCACTTTCTGCTGAAACGTCTCTCACTGCAGTTGCACTTGAATACCAATGTGATCTGTGTGTGGGATGAGGGTCACACACATTCAGTCTGGAGTCCAGGTAGATGCCCCATTCCACTTAGCTTTCACTCTAAGGGAATTCGGATCTCTCAACTACCCAGAGCTGCACCAACGTAACCACCAGTTGAACACTGGACTACTTTTCCACTGGGTAGTCTGCTTTTTGCAGAGCTTTTTGTTTGCAGTGTCCTTTCCACTGCTCAGGGGACAGCCTAAGGTGATGGCCTCTACAACAGCCATCTCCATGAATGAGATCTCTTGAGTTGCGCACCACTGTGAGGGTGGAGAACTCAGCTGTGAAGCTCTCTGCTCTCCTTTTTTTTTTATAGGACAGAAAGTAATCGTGAAAGAAGCCAGTGGGAAGGTGTTCCTGCAATGTGTGGGCAGCCAAAGTGAAGTCATATGGAAGAAAGACGAGACTGAGATAGGAAACACAACACAGCTGGACTTGGGTGCAATTTACGATGATCCCAGAGGCATCTATACATGCGCAATGGGCGGAAAGTCAAGTGTCCCTCTCCAGGTGCACTATCGAAGTAAGTGTTGCAAGCCTGGTTTCTAGAGCCAGAACTGCTTGGAGTTTCCACCCAAGGAAATTTTTGAGGGAGCTACTGATTTCCCAGAGTTTGAGGGTGATTCCACCAGTTTGCAGAAGTCCTGACAGCTCCTGTGCTAGATTGCCCACAGGAACGGCCAAGCTTCACGTTCACTTGCATGCGGTGTCCTCAGGAGAGCCCTGTAGCCTCATTTAGTGCCATAACCTGGCACTCATTCCACTTCACTGCTAGCCACTCGCTGGCCCCGCTGTGGCCTGCTCTAAGTGCTGGGGACACGTGGCAGCTTGCACCACTGCCTTGGGTCACACAGCAAGCCAAACTTAATCCCTGGTCTCTTGCCCTGGGACTGGAGCCTGCCTGGACCAGCAGAGCTGGCTGAGTGCTTTGGGCTCACACTGGCCCTGACGGCAGGGTGGAGGCAGCCAAGGGGCAGGGTCCTGGTCATGGCCCTGCTTTCAGTGTTTGTGTCCTTTTGGGCTTCCAGTGTGCCAGAACTGCATTGAAGTGGACGCTCCCACCATCTCGGGGATCGTGGTCGCAGACGTCGTGGCCACCGTCTTCCTGGCAGTTGCTGTGTATTGCATCACCGGCCAGGACAAGGGACGCATGTCACGAGGTGAGAGGAGAGCCCCACTGGCTGCCCACAGGTGGGGACGGGAAGTGCCTGCGCTTCTCTGCATGGTACCTAGGGCCCACAGAGCCCAGTCACTGCAGGCAGCAGCCAGCACACAGCGTGTCTAGGGTAGGAATTTGTCCCCCTCCTGCCCCTGGCTCAGCTTCCCGGGAGAAGCCATCGGCTGCACCAGGTTCACCAAAACATCATCCCAGGGACAGCAGCTAGTGGCACAGGAACATCTGAGGCCTTGCAGGGGCTTTCCACCAAGCCTCCCAGAGGAAGTAAAAGCACAGGGCTGAAAGCAGTGGGCCGCTTGGATTTGTTTGCAAATGTTTACCATGCTGCCCATGACTCCCCTGATCCTTGACCACCCTCTTTCTTCATTTAGCTTCTGACAGGCAGAACCTGATTGCCAACGAGCAGCTCTACCAGGTGAGCAGGGGTGCGCACATGCATGTGTGTGTGTGGGACACTGGGCTTCAGCACCTCTGTGCAGCGTGGGGCGGCACGGTGGGATCGGTGATGCCATGACAGCACAGCTGCTGGGGGATACTCGATGCCACAAGACACAGAGCTGCGTTGGAGATTGCTCTTTGCTGGGGTGATGCAGCCGCCTCCCCCTGAGTGGTCCAGAGGATGGGGCAAGCTCAGCTGCCCCCTGCCTCTTACTGTCTGGGGTTGTTAAGCTCTGTGTGCAGGGAGGGAAAGCTTGCCAAAAGCTTGGCAAAGGGAGGGCTGGGCCAGCTTCCCTGTACCCTCCCTCCCAGGGCTGGACAGACACAGTTGTAGCTCATCTCGCCTTTTTTTTCCTCCTAGCCCCTTGGCGAGCGGGACGATGGACAGTACAGCCGGCTGGCACCTGTCAAGGCCCGCAAGTGAAGTGGGAAGACGCTGGGACCCGTGGCTTCTTCACACCAGGAATGATATTACAGCAAAGTCACCACCAGTGCCTTCGTAAGCTCAGTGCTCGTAGAAGACAGTGCGGGTTTGTACCTAGAGAGCCCTCCAGCTCCTTGCCAGGATGGGCTGCTTGTAGCACTCTGCTTTTTCCGTGACCTGTTGCACTTCTGTATCCCTTTGATTAAAGATGAGCCTATCCCATAGCCTCCCTGCTCCATCAGTTGTGTTGCAGCCTGGGGAGCCCTGCGGTCGCTGGGGAAGGTGCACGCTGGATGCGATCTGCCTGGATCCTTGCAGAGCCACGAGGCCTGTCCCAGTAGGACACTGCTCTGCCAGTGCAGGCAGGTGCCCATGGCTGTGCCACCTCTCCGTGCCAGGATCCAAATAACATCCGGGTCCATTGCTGGAGTGGGGACACCGTGAGCACAGCGATGCTTAGCAAGGTCTGTGTCACCCCTGCAAAATGCCTGCGTGCCTCAGCCCCCTGCACAGAGCTGGGGGGCTAGCAGCAGGGAGGACAGGAGGATGTTTCCTCTGCACATGCAGGGTTTGGCATCTAATCACAGACTCCAAACCGCAGAGGCTTGCCGGGTCCCGGGCACCCAGCCAGCCTGCAAGTTGCCTCAGTGCTCAGAGGAGTAAAGCATAAGCAAAGCAGGAGGCTATGCTGGCTCTCCAGAAGAGCTTGCGGGGGCTGAGCCCAAAGAGGAAATGGAAACAGCACAGGGCACAAAAACTGCAGCAGAGACCGTGCAAAACACGTGGCAGCAGAGTTGGCCAGGCAGCGAGGGCCAGAGGTAGTCCGCGCTCCCCACACACATTCCACCTCTGCAGTCCACTGGAGAGTGACTCACCTTTGTGACCAGGCCAGGAATCTTTCACGGGGCATTCGGCAACCCCTTTTTCAGGCTCAGTAGCCATCCCACTGTGTTGAGTACAGAATGCAGTCGAACAAACTTTCAGAGCCTTTCCCATCTCAACTGCCCTTCCAGACTCTGAGCAGCACTGGGTCTTCCCACACCAACCCAGCTCTTCCGGGCAAGGTCCCCGCTCCCCAGCTCTGAGCAGAAACAGCTAACGTGGTCTGACTATGGCCAAAATGGCAGGCAGATAACAGACAGGATCAGCTAGCAGTTAGAAACCTCAGAAACCAGGTCACCCTCCATGTGCCAGTTGCACACACCTGTAGGTTGTTTTCCTGCTTTTCTAAGAATCTGGGTGACAGGCTTTAGAGAGCACCAGGCTGTGAATTGCATTGTGACTCAGTGGTACAAAGTAAGCACCGAAAGAGTTAACACTCAGTAAAGACTGGCCACAAATCTGTGACACGTCTGACACAGCAAACAACACAGAGGCTGTGCAAAGCTGTGGGTGCACCCCATGTACTCTTACAGGAATCAGTTTGTGATCAGCCTTGTGGACAGTGAACAAGAAAAGGAGGTGTTTTCCTATGGTGTTGGCTCTTTATGCGATGATGTTTTGCTCTTCACAGGAACCAAATAATATCTTAGTGTTTTTTTCTGCTCTAACTTGCAACAGTGAAGGGTGAGCCATTGCCATTGCAGGTAGAATATGCCAATACCTGTCTTTGGTCTGCAAAACCATCAGGGTAGGACCTCATAAAAAAAGTGACCACCAGACTGCCTAGTTCATAGCACTTCTGTCACAGTCAGTTCTAAAAGCAATGAGCAAAGGTGGCTAACCACACACAAAGAGCAGGAGAAACCCAGAGCAGAGTGGGTGGCTATGTTCTACACAAATCAAATACACAGCAGGGACAACATTTACAACTCATCTGTTTGTGAGAGGCTCCTCAGCACCTCACCCTTGGGAGGACAAAGAAATATTTCCGTAGTGCAGCTAAGCACAGAGGCAGAGAGATGTTGTCACTGGATGGGCGCTGATCCCACTGAGATAAGGAGAGCATGCGGTGGCACTGGTTGAGGCAAACACTAGGCAAACACGCAGCCCCATAAATGGTGGCAGAAGCATTGGGGTGTAGCTTGAAGCAAAATTTAGACCTCGTACACCCAGAGTGCTCCAAGCTTCTCACATCCCATTCATGGCAATGGGCTATATGGCTGGGCTGAGCAAGCATCCCTGGAACAGTGATGTCTTGCAGAAGCTGAGAACGTGGCCCAGAGTGGTTTTAGAGCTGCCGGAGGTTAGTGCTCTTTGTATCTTACAATCTCCCTCCTAGATGTGTAGCGCCTTGTATAGTAAACCCAGCTGTGCTGCTTTTAAAACCACATCCTGTAGGGTAAGCACAGCAATCTGAAGCGTGAAACTTGCTGGGTATACGTCTCCCCATGCTGAAACTCAAGGGTTAAACCACCCCCAGCCCCCATCTCTGCTGCTGTTTCCTTTCTTCAGAGCTGTTGCTCTGCAGAGCAACAGAAACATGGCTCACTTGGCCAGTGTTAGACCAGAAACGTTCCCAGGCATCACAGCACCTCTCGGGCCCTTCCCCTTAAGTTACTACCTGTCCCGTTGCTGCTGCTTTGGAAACCGCTGCTTTTAAAATCTGTATGTCGAGTGCATGGCACCTCAGCTATTTCACTCGCTCACAGACAGCAGCCCCAGTCCCATTCCCCAGCTCCCGTTTCCCCCAGCCCTGCTCTCAGGCCCTGCTCTCCTAGGCACAGTAGTGCATTTTTCTACGTGTAGTTGCCCCCCCGTTCGCTCCATCCTGGCACTGTCTGCTCCCAAACCCCTCAGAGGCTACTGCAACACAGACCCACAGAAGCTCTCACTCCTGATCTGGGAAATCCCCTTAACAAGAACTAGTTTTATTTAACAGAGACAAACCCACAGGGGAAATCTTTTCCAATGCATACCAGGTGGTGCTGTCTCCTATTTTATTAATATCCTACAGTTTTTACATGTCATACATAAATTTTTTATGCTTTTTTATGTACAAAAGTTAAAATGGATCTTTACCAATGGCAAAGCAGCCCACCATCTTTCTAACACAACCCAGGCAGAATTCAGGTTACAGAGCTGAAATGGGGAGAGAAAGAGCAGCAGCAAAGGACAAATCACAAGAATCTCTAAGAGCGATAGCTCTGGAAAATGAAACTCCACCAGCAAATGTACTTGTACACCCCTTAGGGTACAACACACTCAAAGAAATGTGTTTATCCTAGACTACACTATAGAATATCGGTAAAAATGGAGTCCATGAAGTCTCTGGGACAAGAAGGACAGCCTAGCAAAAGGGTTTGATGGTTTGATGCTCTCTTGGATTTTGTAGGTCCTGGGCTTTATCTCTGTGGCCCCAATGCATTCATTTCGATTCCAGCGAATAAGCTGTTTCAGAGCAAGAGTGCTCGTCCTTGGGCTGAGCAAAAGGGTCTGTGTTCCAATCTGGGAAACATGAAAATCCCTATTGTGCTGTCTCAGTCAGACTGCAAAGCTGATGTTCCTTGCTAAGTGGCGGTTCAAATCTTAGCTGAAATATCTAAGAGCCCCACTATTTAACGGCAACAAAGATTTAAGCCAAGCACCTAAATTTCCTAACAGGAGGCTTTCAGATGGCTTGGGAAGGTGCCCAATCCTTACGTGACCCTATGAGGATGCTCTGCTGAAGGTATGAAACATAAAGGTCACTGGTTGCAAAGTGGTACTCAGCCCCACTCAGTTCCTACAGAAGAAGGACTAGGGATGGACAGGTCGGGCTGCATGTACTGATAGAAGTGCTTCTCATTTTTTTAAAGGAAAACTGCTGCAATATTTTCATTCAAACCTTGAAGCTTGGCTTTTCTATGAAAATGTACCATTAAGGTTTTCATGTGCTGACCGCCTCTGTTACAGTCCTGGGCAGCAAAAGGAAGGTAGGCTATTAACATCAGAGCAGGACAAGGTCAGAGGCCATTCACTCTGAGAAGGACCTGCTCTTTGCCCACGAGCTACACAGGCATGGGGAGCAAGTGGAGGCACTCAGAGCGGAAATTAAAGGGGAGGGAAAACCTGGACAGGCAACTGGAGCAGAGAGAGAAGTGTGAGGGAAAAGGAGGCCAGGAACCACGGGTGAGGCTGCAGTTCTTTAATGAGAAGGAAAACTTCTCTTGCCAATGTGCTCATTTGTTTCTTGTCCCTAATGTCAAAACAAAGGCCAAAGGAAGACATCGGGGTGGGACGGTGGATGGCAGCAGGGCGCCTGTCCCGTGTAGCCGCTTGGCTTACCCCAAAACGCCTGAGCCTCAGCAGGCCTGCAGAAAACCGGTACCGAGCTGGGCAGAAGCACTTAGCCCCTCTGCTGCTGTTTCCCAGCCTGTTATCCGTGGGAATTTCAGAAGCCCCTGGATTCCAGGCCTGCATACACTTCCCGCTGGCCTTTCCGGATGGGCTGTGGGAAGAGCAGAGATGTTAGTTAGGGAATCCTTATTAACACACCCTCAAAACACCACCAGAGTCTCGGTCCACACAATACATGGAGAAAACCACAACAGAGGGAGCAGGCGTAGTGCTGCTCTGGTAGCCTGCACAAGAAGCTGCAGTTCTGCTCCCGACTCCTTGTGTCAGCACCAGGAGAAGGGGCTCCACCCTCACCACCTTTTTCCTCTGCTCCCAGGAAAGCCTGGAGGTTGACTGGATGCTTCTTCAAAGGAGCAAAAAGGATAAGTGCTACAGATTCCCAGCTCTGGCTACGCCTCCCCAACCAGCAAAGAGAGATGGAAAAAAAATGTAGGTTCTCCATACCTCATAGTCCGGGTTTGGAACAGGGGGAGGACGCTGCATCTTCTGACCTGCAACAGAGGTAAAGAGACGTCATCCTTGGTGATAATTCCTGTAAGACAGCATGAGGGACTTTCAGGGAGATGATCCCACGGTAATGCATACCATGGGTCAACTTGGATGGCTTTATTATGAGCTTAGAGCTTTTAAAGGCCCGACTGCTGCAGGCAGGAGGCCTTATCATAATTTCGGAGGAAATCAGCTTTCTTTTAGAAAGGGTAAATTTCTGGCTTTCCTGGCTGGGAAGAAATACTTCAGAACAAGAAGGCCCCATAAGCAGAGGCCCGGGCCACAGCTCCATGATATGGATACCAGATCTATACTCCTCTGCCTCAGCAAGCTGCACAGGCACGAGCACATCATCACAGTTCTGTTGAACCCAGTACACGATACGCACAGTAAGCACACAAGAGGGAACTTAGACATGCCGAAAGAGGCACATCAGCTTTGTAGAGGCAAGGGGAAAAGTGGCGATGCCTGATCTGCACAAAGCCCGGCTGGTGAGCACTCATGGTACTTGTCTGACAGACAGTGTCCTGGCACAAATGTCATCATCAGCACTTCTTGAACGAATCTGAACCAGCATCTTGAGGTCACCACCCTGCATCATTTTACCCCAGCATTTATAACCCAGGAGCCCCACTGCTGGACCCACTGGGTCACCAAACCATGGCCCCAGAAATGAAAACGTATAGTTTTAATAACACCACGATTTCTAATCACATCTTCTGTGTGTGGGCCTAATAATTGGTCTTTGATTGCCTGAGAGAAGCAGCTGAGCGGGCCAGGGCCAGGCTGGGTTTGCAACTACACTTGCAAGCTGAGCATCCGCCGTACAGAGTTTGCTTCAGCACAGAGTCAACACTGCTGCGCAGCAGCCTGTGAAATGGTTCCCTGTGCGCAGGAAGCCTTTGACACAACACGGCAGCCACACTCATCCCATACAAGAAGGCAGCCCGGAGCAGGAGATGTGGCAAGCAGGAGTGTTGTTTGGCGAGGTCTTGGAAGCTTGGGGGGAACAGAGGAGGCTCAGTCACTCGGTAGGGGCGAGTGCTTAATTTAGTGCTTAGCGGACATCATGGAAAGCAGAGATGCCTGAAATGGCTCTTACCTCGTGGCCGACCACCAGCACTAGCGCTCGCTCTCCCCTTCCTGTCTTTGCTGAAGTAATAGACCAGAATCAGCACCCCGAAGGTGATGAGAAGATCTGCAGTGATGATCCCCGTCACTGCCAAGGCATCCAGCTCCTCGCAGTTTGCGCACACTGCCAGAAGGAGAGATGAAGGTGCTCAGAGACGGCACCATTCCTTTCCAGCACGGAAAGTCCAGGCCTCACTCATCTGCTTAGTGCTAGCAGAAAAGATACAGTTCTGGGTGGGAAGGAGAAAAGAGCAAACAGAGAGGAAGGGGGGGCGGCAGAGACTGTTCTATCCACCCCGCCATTTTGGTCTGCAAACAGGCACAGACCAGGGACTGGTGTGTGTAACCTCCTTCACTACCCTCTGCGGTTTGCATGGCCCGAGCCAGAGACTGCAAAACATCTCCTAGATCATTGCTCTCCTCTGCCTATGCTGGAGTCTAAGTCCTGAATGCAGAGCAGCAGCCCAAATTTCAAAAGGCTCAGAGGCTTAAATCACTCTGTCAGGGTGGGAGTAAACTCCCCCTGGTTGATGGGTCATAGAAACCAGGATATGTGCTCCAGATGGGAGGTTTCCACTCTGCAAGGAAAGAAATGCTTCTGGCCCTTGTGACAGACATTACTCTTGCCCTGTAGCACAGCAGAAGGCCTATAAAAAAAGATCATGCACTGTGTATGTGGGAACCATTGACATGCAACCAGCTTGAGGACAGAGGAAGAGAAAGGCATAGAGAGCAGGGAGATTCCTTTTGCCAAAAACATACTCTTGCACTCTTTTAATGCCCACACAATGCTGGAAGGGCCTCAGCAGAATCGCATTCACCCAGTCCAGCAGCACTGAAAGTTGGGTCTCAGGTCCTAATACCCATCACTGAAATGTATAGAGTTTATCTTTAGCCTGTAGACTGAGTGCTTTTTCACTCACCTCTGGCGTTCAGGTACATTTCATACTTCTTTCCATCTTTTGTACAACTCACATTGACAGGAGAGCTGTCATGGTTCTCTATAACATGCTTTGCATCCTTCTTAGCTTGGTTCACCCCATTTAACTCCCAGGATGTGGGATCACTGAAGGGACATGTGATTGTCACCGTGGTTCCGGAGATCTCCACCAGGAATTCTTTATCGGACGGTGGGCCCATGAGAAGGGAAATCAGCATTACAAATGGCTTCTGAGCAGGCTTCCCTGCCCACCCTTGATCCCACCATGACACTTTGCTCTGCCAAACCTTTGATTTCATGGTGTAATGTAAATTCCCTGTGTATGTGTCTTCTGCGTGCATGCTTTCCTTTAGTTTTTTACACTGATTCTTTGCAAAACACTAAATGGTATCAAAACACCATCGCATAGTGTTCAACTTTGTGTCAGAGAGCCTGGCCACCTGCCATTCATTGTTCTCTTTATCCATATGCTTGCTGCTCTCTGCAAATGGCCAACCCTGCTTGGAGACCACTAACAGTAATTAGGGGCAACTAGTTACAGCTCATTTTTCTGATCGGTGATGACAGCAGCAACTAACCAACAGTATTTTTTTCCCTCCTGAAATACTGCTTGAACTCAAATATTTCTATCTGTCTTTTAGTCCTCACCTGTGAGGCATCTGCAGTCTTTTTATCATGCTGAATAGTTAAGAATGCCGGTAAAATACACTTACCCTTCGGGTCTTCGGTATCGTCTGCAAAAGAGAGAACAGTAAGTGTTAACAAATCAGCCTGTTGTTACTTTACTCCTTGTGCTGTAAAGAAATGCCCAACCCTGCTTGGGGATCACTAGCAATAATTAGGGACAACTGACGACAGCCAGTTTTTCAAATCAGTGAGATCAGTAACAATTGATGAACAGGGAATGTTTCCTGTCCTACAATATTTACAAAATTCAAATATTTGCATTTGACTTTTTAGTCCTCACTTGTGAGGCATAGTTGGTCTTTTTATCATACTACATAGTTAAGAATGCTGGTAAAATACACTTACCCTGCTGAGCTGCGGTGCCAACTACAAAAGAAAGAACAGTAAGTGTTAAGTAATTTAGCTGCTGATATCATACACTTTTCCTACTTGAAGGAAATCCTTTCTGAACTCAGCTGCTTGAAAGAGATGTTTCTACTCCTCTATTTGTGCTAAAGGCATTAGAAGCATTCTGTTAGCTGAGACAGGATGTTGTTTTGCAATGAAGTCTTTTCCTTTGGAAGCCATCTTTAACACGGACTAAGGCAGAATGGAAATTTGAGTAATTTTCTGACCCAGTTTAGAAAAAGCGTTATTGCAAGCTGTACACCCAACAATTTTGCTTTATTATCATGGACTAAAGACTGCTGGAAAATCATGCCCGCTTTCTGCAGTAAGAACCAGTGTCCTCTGCAGGAGTGTACTCACTGGAGGATTGGTCCCTCACACTTGATTTAACTCTGTAAAGCAGTTTATCTGTGTGATTTTTCTCTTGGTAGGAAACAAGTAGCTCCACTGAAGTCTCTGGAGCTGGAGTACTACAGAAACAGTTTTTAGGAGGTCTGAATCAGACTTGTGATTTGCTTTAAAGACATTTGTTGATAGAAAATAAGCAAATAAAGGAATGACCTGTATACATGTGCTCAGCGCTGTTGTCTCATCCCAGTAATTCTGGCTTTACAATAGGAGTTACTTGTAACAAAATTGTAGATTTGAAACTCCGCAGGCATAGGACTTGGCTGGAGAGAAGGTGACTTGATGCTTTTTTCTTTATAGAAGATGAATTTAAATTTGAAAAAAGAACAAGCCATTGCTAAACCAAATGTTTTCAATCTTCTCAAAGAATAGCAGTTGGTATTTGCAGCACATTGGCAGAGTAGCTGTAGTCCTAGTATAGTATCTTTTAATTATCTTTCAAACTTATCTCTCATAGTTACCAGGGGGTTTTTATAGTCTTTACAAATAGTCTGCACTTCATCCTAAACCAGCTTTCTAAATACTGGTCAGTTCAAACTGGTACCATGGAAATTGCTACCGCTCCCATGATATCACCGTGCATTGGAACTGAAGCTAGTTACCCATGATCACAAAACGGATTAAGAAAAGTGTATGAATAAAGCATAAAAAACAAAATTAAAACCACAGAACCTTATCACTCACATTGCTGCAGAAAGAAGTGCATCAAACTCCAACCCTGCTGCATGACGTTTGGAGACCAGGCGTCTTAGTGAATCAGCTAGTAAGGAAAAATTCACTAGGGACTTTAGGTTCTTTTCTCCAGCCTGAGAGCATCGGATTCCCATTTCTCTGTCCCTGCCCTCTGAAGGGATCGCTCACTCTGGAGAGCAGCAGCTCTACAGGCACTGCACATGCCAGTTGCAGATGTGGCTACAGGTACTTTGCAAAACCGATCGCACACCCCGATGCTTTCTGCTCTGCAGCCCCTGGGCAGCCACCCTCCTGGTCCCTGTGGGCTTCTGGCCAGCTGTACTCACCCATGCACAGTAGGAGTCCCAGGAGAGGCAAGGACTGCTCCAACCTCATCTTCGTATTCCTCCTTCTCTTGCTCTTCTCTACCACATCAGATTGGCATCACTGAGGCTGGCTGTGAGGGAAGAAAGAAGACATTGCCTTTTCAAGTTCTCTCTTACAAGAAAGAGGCCCAAGACTTTTTCCCAGAATTGTGTACAGCAATGAACTGAGCAGTGCTGGGGAGACTCACTGTTTCCAGTGAAACCTGCAAGCAGGCAAGAAAGATAGAGAACACGTTTGGTAAAATGAGCCCATGTCAGGAAGTGCGGAGGCTCAAAACGTCTTCACGGAACGTCATTGACAGCAAGGGGTGGCTGCTCTGCACCAGCCCAGTTTGAGTTTCCGGAGACCTGTTGTAACTGCCCAAGGAGCAGCAGGAGAGAGAACCGAGCCTGGATCAGATTTGCCATCAGGACCTTCCTAACAACTTTTCAAAGTGAGCGTTTCTAAGTTCAAACTACTGCAAGCAATTTAACATAGCAAGGGAATAAACAAAGGAACCAGAAATGCTACAAGAAGCTCAGCACCTAGAAACACTGTACAGCCAGCAGAAATGAGCCTGTAAGTGCCAGGCTGTAAAACCTGGGGGGTTTAGTCACTGATGATGCAATCTAGACTCTGCTTTTGTTATTTCGCTCTAACAGAACCCATTTCTTCCCGCTGACTCTTCAAGAGTGGCATTTGCCAGCTCCTCACCCAGACTTGCCTATCCGCACATACTGACAGTGCGGAGCACAGCAAAAGCGGTGGCTAAGCACCGCAAGCCTGGCTGCAAACCTCTGACCTGAAGCTAACACTCTGCTCCCAACAGATACTCGATGACATGCTCTCCTGCTAGGAGGGAACTTGCTTAACTGTGTTGCTGTTTCTCTCCAGTTTCAATATAAGACTGCAAAAGCTAGTCCGCATTTTCATGCAGCATTCGTACTCACGTTACAAATGGCACCTACAACAAAATCAGCTTTATTTCTTTAAATGACATTTAGGCTTGTCTGTTCACCAGTCTAGCAGCCCTCTCAAGGGAGAAGGCTGAGGCTGTTTGGAGTAAGCCTGTGTCTCTCAAGCTGCTGAAAGCAGAAGGGAACATGGTGCCGCAAAGCCGTCCCGAAAGCCTGAGACACGCTTCCGTGCCCAGCCGGGAGGAGTCCAGACCTTGTGCTCAGAAGACACCTCTGGACTCAGAGGACCCTGCTCAGAAGACACTGGCTCACCCGGCGGCTTTGCAGCGCCTCCTGTAAGGGAGCTCTGCCCGCGGGGTGGGCAGCCCGAGCAGCAGCGGCCTGGTTCCACTAGAGGGGGCTCCTACCCCTTCCAGCGCTCTGCTCCCACGCCGGCTGCTCTTGCCAGACTTGGACGTGGGGCGGGCAGAGACCTCCACGGGACGGGGCAGCGGCCTTTCCAAGCTTTGCTTCCAGCAGCGGTGCTGGCATGAACGAAGTGGGAACGCACCGTCTTTCCCTTTCCCTCTGCTTGAAGCCTACAGGGGTGGCAGAGCTGCTTATAACGGCTGTGAGGATTTGAGGGCACGCGTCCCAAGCAGACCTTGCGACGCCAGCCGAGGCTCCCTTCTTCCCCAAGGACGCACCTGCCGCACATATCTCGAGGGACTCCTTTCCAGGTGCCTGGGAGGGTGGAGCTGGCTTCTTGCTCCTTCCCAAGAGCTCACCATGTAATGACATGGCTAATGATAACGTTGTAGGCCCTTATTTCGTTTACTGAGGCGCTCTCTTCAGCTGTCCGATCTTTTTTTTACTTATTTCTGTTTCAAAATGAAAACTCAGGAATTTTTGTTACTAGTAAGGGTGCCAGGGCATGGCCTTCTCTTAACAGTTGGGGTCAGCACATTTTGAAACGAGATGTTGAAGGTTAGTGAAAGTCTGCAAGTAAAGAGCGGAACAGACCCTCTTCCCAGACCTGTGCGTTACACAAATGTCATCTTAAGTGAGAGCCAGTGGTGGTGTTACGTGGCCAGAGTGGCCAAAGTGCAGTTACAGCAAGAAACACGCTTGTCCTACCGGACTCTGTATGGGCTGCCTGAGGATAAGAAGTTGCTGCTTTGCAGAAAGACGATTGCAGGAGGTGGCAGGAAATTGCCTGCTGAGCACTGCCTTACAGATACTCGAAACAAAAATCTGAAAAGGCAAAAGTATCCTCGGTTTGCAAACCAACCAACCAAAGAACCCCAGCCTAATAAGTGTTTATGATGGCAATGAAAGCATAGATGTTTTGTAATAGTAACTGAGTAGAAATGTGGGGAGATGCAGAAGGGTTAGCATGTGGCTAAATTATTCCCATGAAAAGAGAGATCTGGTATCTCAACGCTATTAGCAGAGACGTGTTAGTAGAAACAAGATTCTCTGTGCTGTTCCATGGACAATCCGTGAGACTGATGGCCTCGGTGCTTTTTTACATTGCCAGATTTGTAACTTGAAGTTTAAAAGTTAAAAATAAATTCAGTATTCCCCTCAGAAACTGCTGCGAGCATGTTACAACAGCAGATGGGAGGAGAGTTGTCCACATGGTTACTCATTGGCAGGAAGTCTGAGAGTCCTGCTGCTGCCCCCTTTCCATCAAAACCTTGTTCTGGCCAGTCCGGACATCCTCTTGGTGTGTCGCAGGTAATCCAAAACATCCCAGTCGTAGCCCACGCTGCTGCACAGCAAGACTGCCTTCACTCTGCACCTTAGCTCTGAGCTGAAGGGAGTCCTTCAAAACACCCGGAGGTTAGGGCATCCTCCCTGTCCCTGCCTTGGCACCACTGCGAGGGAAATTAGCATCAGTCGCAATGAAAGTTCATAACCTGGGATGACTTTTTGGAACTAGACCATGGACCAAACACAAACACAGCCACAGCCAGCGTCAGGTTCTGCTGTTAAAGTGATTTATGGTCTTCAAATGCAAACATCCTTATTTTGCCAACCCACATGCACATCTCAGTTTCATGCTCTCACAACTGCTACGTGCCTCCAGGAAAATATTTTGTGTTGCACTGAGTTTCTTTCTCTAGCACCTTGTGCTGCTTGTGAAGCACAGTGGGGTTTCCCCAGCTGTGCCTGGACTACCACCGGGCTGGACTTATGTCCAATGTAATTGTCTTTTGACTTTTCCAAGAACGTCACAAGTCTCCCAATTCTCCTGCAGGATGGCTACAACTAAGTAACATTAAAATGATCACTTCATTTTACTGTGGGTAGCTGTGTTTCATAGGACATTTCCATGCACTGGATGTGTGCTCACACTGCTGCCACAGACTGTCTGTTTTGGGTTGCTTTTTTTGGATTGTTTGCAGGATTTTGCCAAACAAATGGCCCTCATTCCTTCAGGCTATCTGTAAACACCTTGAGGCAAATTTTCTTTGAGGAGCAAAATTACCTGCCGGGAGAGGGGAGGGGTTTCAAGTGGAAGCTGGGAGGAGGGATGATTGCAACACAAAAGAGCAAAGGAGTATGGGAAGCAGAAGAAATTAATCTTACCTTGAAAATCTCTTTTACGCAGACATGAGCTGTGCTGGCCACACCTTGCCTTTCAGTGCAAGGGCAGGGAGTGCTCTCTGACTCCAGCGGGAAGGAGTGCGCACATTGCTTTGCAGGCCAAGCTAAGAGAAAGGCATTTGCTCTGCTGTGCTGGGAAGGCTTTGAGAAACTCATCTTTCATCTGGTTATCGAGACCCTGAAACGAATTTCTTTTTCTGGGACTGCTCAAGCTGTGGAGTACGGACTTGTCTTCCCAATGTGTGGCCCCAGCTGGCTGGGAGCTGTGCTCTTTCTTGGGGTACAGCTCCGAGGTAAGGAAACCTGGCACTGTCTGGCCTCAGTTGCCATCTTGACTTTCCTCTTCTGATCCTTTCACTATTGTCCTCATTAAGGCAGCGACTTTATAGGAGTCTCAGATACTTGTGGATGATTGCTGTGATTATTTCTGTCCAGGGTTCACTGCAAGCAACACAAAGTGATTGAGTTTCTTCGACAAACAGGTTTAGGTGTGTGTTCAAGCGGAAGAAGAACACTGATTTCATTCTGAGCTCTGCTTACACATCTTTTTCTCTCCTGCCAGGAAGCTGGACTTTACTCCTAGATGGTTTTTTTCACTATCTTTGTTACTAGACAATCAGAGATTGTTAAGCAGCACTGGGTTTAGATCCTTTACACAGCAATGATTCCAGATCGACAACAATAACCTCGCTTGAATTTTCTGTGGTTTATATCAATATACCTGGAATCTAAGAACACTGTGTCCTCCTCTCCCAAATGCATCAGCAGACAGATACACTCGGTAATCTCTCTTGAAAAAAGTATTTTACACATTTCCCACAGCTGTTCTTTTAAAGGAGTTTAAAAAGAAACAATTTGACACTAAATCTTTGGATGAGAAACAGGATCTCTGCCCATGAAGTTTTCAAATGTGAACACCTTCAATGTTTTGGCATTTCAAATCTTTTCTCCTTTGAGGAAAAAAAAATAATTTGGCAAGGAAGTCTTTGGTTATACATTATTTTAAAATACAGGAAATTTATTGATCATCTGTATTATGAAACCGTATTTTACAACCCCAGATAAGCTTTTTTTTTGCTTGAATCACTCTGGGATGAGTTAACTCATCTTCCTAAAGTGACAGGAAATTATTAATATTATCTTTTTTTCTGCTGGGTTAGTTTGACCAGTGCATAAAAGGAAACTAATGGGAGCACATGATCAGGAACAGGGAGGACTGTCCCTTTCAGCAGCAGCAGCAAGATTTTTAGCTCAGCACTGCTGTTTTGTGGAAAGGGACCCACTAACTCGGGGAGCTAAAGTGGACAGGCAAGCCACACAGCAGTCGCAGGGAAAAGAGTCAGAACTTGCAGCACCACCGCTTTGGTAGCACCACTCTGCCAGAGTGATTGAACTCTGTCTGGAACGGCAGGGGCAGCCCGACGGCCAGTCTGGAACGGCAGGGCAAGCCAGAGGACAACTAGGGCTGAGGGTGAGAGGCATCTTCACCAGCAACCCTTTGGTTTTCTTAGTTTTCATTTT